TTTTTAAACACATAAAAATTTAAAAGTAAAAATGACTTGTAATTCTTACTCTCTTTGCTTTCCAACCCTATGACCACTGTAGATACTAAAAAAATTTAAAAATAAAAATGAAAAATGACATGTTTAGAATGACATTTTGAAAAATAAGGAATAGTGCTGATATTATATCCTCTCAACACATTCACATAAGAGAGAATATGTTGTTTGAAAATCCTAACAGTCCCTATTATAGAAATGTTTCCTGTATGGCTACTGGTTGGAATTAGTCTTTGCTCATTTGTTTTCAATTGATTATCTTCACCTCAGGTCTAAGATTGGATGAAAAATCCAGTTAGATTTTACACTGAAACAAGTAAACTAACAACACTCTTTCCCATCGTTCTCCATTTCCTTTCTCTTCTCCCACTACCGACAATTAATAAACAAAAAGCCCAGTATGTAAAGAACAGTTTGGCCATTATAGGCTCAGAACTGGTATAATAAGTCTTTTTCCACTGGTTGCTAGTTAACGCAAGACCTCAAACCAGTCACATTTTTAACCCTAGGACCTAACACAGTTGTTACTGAATGAATAACAAAACATACAAGCTTAAAATAGGACTTTAAGTATTCCTTGTTTAAAATTTTCTCTCAAAATTTGTTAGAAAAAAACCTGTGCCATAACAAAAGTTTATTACATTCCAGTATTAGAAAGTGTAAGCATATATGAGTATTAAAATGTTTGTTTATATAATAATTTGCAATATTAGAATTAGTCCTTTATAAATCTAATTAGGATAAATATCAAGATAATATTATGCCAAAGGTATGTAAGACTGAGAGATTTTTATATTTGACTATGAGTCCTCATAAACTGACTAGTTTTACAAAGCAGATTCTACCATAAATAAGGCAATAAAAGAGTCTTTGGCATATCTTGTTTTTAATATTTATTTTCTCATTTACCACTACTAATTCATTTGGTTTATTCTAGGTAGCAAATCTTCTTCTTGGTACTGCTCAATTACCAAAGCTTTTTTGATGGGATCTGATGTATGGAATAAAAATTTAGTCACATTTACTTTATCCTATTTACTTTTATGACCATGCCATTCTCCACATACATAATAACCTTCTTAATTAAGTCATCTAATCCAAATGCAAACTGGAGGAAGTTAAGAATGGAGGAGAGGGTATTGAACTTCACTTTGGAATAATTGTGAGGAAGGTAGAGGAAGAAGTTACAAATACAAATTATGCTGCTTAAAAGAGAGTGCATCTTGTGTGTTAGCAGGTTTTTAATTTTCTTTTCACAAGATTGAAATAATCTTTGAACTTTCACATAAATCCGACCTCAAGGATCATTTCTGAGCAAACCGATCAACACCATTTTTTGCGTGTTTTTGTTAAGCACGTAGCGTGAATCACAAAGTATTTTTGAGTCTCCTTTTATGTGACAAGAGTTACCCTGTCCTGTAAATCTCAAACAGCAACATCCTCCTTCAAATTCACAGGTTTAATCCGGGATTTGTGAGGTAGAACTGAAAGTCAAACAACCACAACAAAGAAGTTGACCAAAGATTACTTTTAGAAGCCAGATGCTATTATGCTAGCAGGTTCTCACAATGTGCATCTTCAGCGAGGCTATAGGTATTCTTAGCAGCTACATGAAACAATTTAAAAGCTCCTCTAAGCTAGAAACAGAAAAAGACAGCATGATGTAGAAACTACGCATTGTTTGGTAAACAACAAATCACGTAAGATTAATTTAATAATGCTCAGAGACCAAATTTCAAACCTTAATGGTAATTTGGGCAGGGGAGACAGGCCCAGCCGTATCTCCTGGAACTATACAGTAGCAAAGAGAATTGCTTTTGGAAGCCGCATTAACTGTTTTGGATCACTAGGGTAATCCTAAGTAAATGACCGTTTCGATGTTCCAATAGCACTTAGTTTACTAAAGCAGTAAATTATCCCAACTCTGAAATTCCCAAAGTGTTTCTGAAGAGCTAAAGTCCATAGCAAACCAGCAGGACTCTTTGTCCTCTAGCTCATTCCACTCCTGCCTAGTCCCTTGCTTTTAAAAATGCCCTAAAACCAAGCATTTACATTTGTCCAAACATTTTGAAAATGAAATGCTGTCCAGTACAGTGCCATGGGTGCTTGAATAAATTCTCATTGACTATCTAAATGGGGGGCGGGGGTGATATTAGCACTTGATTGTGCCAATTGTGTCAAATATTCACTCACATATTAAAAAAAAAACATTTTTGAGGTAGTTATTGAAGAATTAATTCATAGTTGAGATCATGGGAATTCTTTAAACAGGCACTATGTGCTAAAAACATGCTAAGTTCTCCTAGATCCCATCCACTCTCTACACACACTTATAATCACTTATTTAAATCTCATTACTCCAAAGAGGAACAGCAATAAATAAAAATGCTTCATAGGATAAAAAGTACTCCTTTGCTAAATTGGCTAATATTCTTCAGTTTTATTATGATCAGGCAGACCTCTCTGTTATTAGATCTAAGTGTGTTGCAAGTGAGAGCCCTTTTCTTATTTGTCATTAGATGCTAAAAGGAAGTACATGCATGTGGTATCCTCATTAGAATAGAATTAGCACAGCACATCATTCTTCTGTTACAAGTAGACTTATAACCTAGTTACTTAGAAAATGTTTGAAAACTGGGTATATAAATATTTGGAAACACTATACTAGCATCTCATAAATATTTTTTTCAACCTAGGAATTAACAGTAAAAAAGCCAGAGACGGATTACATACCCACAGCCTCTAGGTCACAGACGTAAATGTAGATCAGTATTTAAGCAGATGCACTAGTATTTTGATACACTATTTCTGTCAGTTTCCGGCAATGGCTCTGATTCTAACAGCAATTACTGGTAAAGAATTTAGTCTCAACTATTTAGAAAAGTGGCTTTATTGAATTTACAAACAAGGCCCTACAATCTTCCATTTCCTTAGCAAGATATTAAATCAACCAAGCTAAGCATGTCATCACGACTATAATTTACGTGATGTGACATGACAGTTAAGATGTATTGTGGTAATTTGTGAGAGCTTGCAGTATTATTGTAGTATCAAAAATTTATATGGTTCAGTTATTAAGGCAAATTGTTTCATTCATACTGAGATGTCTGACAGTAAACCACCAGGGGCTTCCACATTACATTAAAAAATGTCTTCCATATTCAAACACTTTGCACACCCTGTTACCATTATTTTGTTCACTGAATGGAAACTAGAGCACAGACAAGCATGGCTTTTTGATGTGAAAATGATCTGTAAGGGAATATGAAGTATTTCTTTGCGGGTGGTTATAAGAAACAGGTCAGCCAGGATAAGGGAAGTTATCTTTGGGAACCAACAACTATGAACAGAATGTCCAAATTCTTTGCTCTGATGCTATTTAATATCCCATCTGCTTGCTTTCCTTCTGTCAGGTTGATTTTCAGCCAAAAGTAGGAAAAACCGTACTACCAAATAAGAAATGATGAAAAAATATGGCAAAAAATACTTTTATTATAAGCTATTTTCAAATAAATTTCACAATAGAAAAATAAGAGCTCTGCAACTCATCCAATTTTGACTCAAGGCTCTTCTCGGTACTCCTCCAAGCAGTAAAAAAAAAATTAACATTTTTTTCTCCCTCTCAATTTTAAGTAGTCTTAGTCAAGTCTTATGTGCTATTTTATTCTTGTTGAGAATACAGGAGATTCCTAAATATAAAAGGGCAAAATTACTTCTGGTCATAAAGTGCCTTGCAAATAAAAGTTTAATTAGATTTTTATTATGGCTATTGAATTTTATGCAACATAGCCTATCTCTTTAAAATACATATTCATTGAAAATGTGTTTTATTCATTTACACATTTTTTCATAATAGCATTTAGAAGCCTGTTAAAAATAAGAAGCTGGCCATGAGGTGAAAATGTTTCAATCAGCTAAAACTACCAGTTCCCATTCACTGAGTAGCATACGAACGATTCACTTTTTCTAGATCAATACTCATATGCCATGCAAGAAAACCACTAACTGAAAATGTACTTTTATTTGTCAATGAAGGTTTCTTTCAAAAGTAACATTTTATTTTTATAGATGAAAACTAGGCTTTAAATTCCATCAATTCACGAAGGTCCCCCCACCCTGCCCCGTGGCCCTCAGCTTCTGGTGAGATTAGACAATTTAACTATCAGCTAATAAGGTATTAATTCACACAGGACAAGCAAGTATTCACATTTAGAATCAATAAACCAAATTTTGCTTCTGAAAAATTATTGGACAAACTAAAATAAAATTCTAAACAAGGCACCTTTCTAGATGTAGTTAATCCACAACAGAAGAAGGGGGGTATATAAAAAAGCTTGCATTTCTGAAGTTGCTGCATTTGTTTATCTGTGTATGTTTTCATATCTGTGAGTGGGCTTCAAAACAAACATGTGCTTTCAATCTGTCACTTCTTTTAAGGTAGTTCACTTTCTAAGTTCCAGGAAATACGTTGTTTTCATAAGCTTCATGGCAAGCATTAAATTAGTTATGTAATAATTTTTGATTCCATTTAACAGTCAGACAAGGCAGAAGAAAAAGTATCTCTCTTGAATATCAGTTTTGAAAAGAAATAGAAACTGCAGTAAGCATACCATCACAGACAAGTCTAGAAAAACTATTTCAAGTAAACACAACACAGTTTCTTGCTATATCTATAATCTGTCTCACCAAATACCCTAGAGGCTACATTAATTTATTCATTCATTCAAAAAGTTTACATAGAAGGCAGATTATGTTCAGCATCTTTACTAGCGGTGCCGGGCCCTGAACTTCCTTGGAACACTGGAGAAACGCCAAACTGGATCTGATTCAGCTGGTTCTGACAATCCTGTACAGTAGTATGTATTTGATTTCATCTTTCTTTTAAAAAAAATACTAAATAAAAACTACATTGATTATTGGTCAGTTAAAGCAAAGTAGCGAGAAGCAAGCAACTACGGACTCACTTTGTTTCCCAGATACGGAGCCGGAGCGCTCCAGTAGTAGCTTTGCGGCAAGATTTGTCGGGCCTCTGCGTTGTTGATGCTGATCTGTTGTGATGCATCCAAGTTTTCCTGCTGGGGAGCCACTCGGATGCGGCCGGAGATGTCAGTCAGATACCAGCCACTCATGTCTTGTATCTTAAAGAAAACAGAAGCATCGTTAGGTGTGTGTGTGGGGTGGGGGGCAGTGGAGGAAAAAAAAAAAGTCATCAGCGTCCTTTCTTTTTCATGTTCCTTGTGGTGTCGATTTTGGGGGAGGAAATAAAAAACCAAGAAAAGTTAAGAAAATATGAGTTGAAAATATCATTAAACTCAGCGTATGTATTCATATAAGCTCCCACTGTTTTTTTTTTTTTTTTTCCCGATATAGCTAGGAGTTTGAATAAAAACCAAAAACCAAACCCGTTGTTCGTCCAGTCAATCCCGACTTAGAGCAACCCTAATAATCTGGAGTACTGGTGGTGCAGTGGTTAACGTGCTCCATAATATTAACCAAAAGGGTCAGCGGTTGGAACGCACCAGCCACTCCGACTGCCACAATAAAGATTTACAGCCTTCGAAACCCTATGGAGTGGTTCTACTCTGTCCTGCAAGTTTGCAATAAGTCGGAATTGGCTCAATACCAGTGGGTTTTTTTAATATAATAATCTGTTTTTATTGATCCAATTTTTTTTTAATATTGTGATTCCAAATACAACTTTAAAAAAAGAAATTTATTCAAAGTTGCAAAATGGTTATAAAATTATACAATTTATCAACTAGTTGAATTTCATATTTTTCATTACCTTTGTAATTTCCTTTTGCTTATGAAAAATTTTCAAAAGTGGTTACATATGTATTTATAAAGCAGAGGAAGAAAAGAAAGAAAAGATGCAAGTGCCTGATAGATAGCTTTTCATTCAGTATTTCCTTCCTTCCCACTTATTTAAATTTGAATTTTAAGGCTTAACGACATTTGAATGCACCAGGATGTTGCTATGGCCACAGCTTACAATACTGTACCTATTCCTTCCTACAGGATCAGAAGTGCAGTGGGGAACCATAGCTCATATCCCTGTCCCAGAAAAAGGAGGGTGCTTTAAAGGAGGAATAAGGGAATACAACATTATTTGCTCTTCCATCTTTACACTCCAGCCCAGGTCAGGAATGCAGGTACTATTCTAACTTAAACTGTCCCACCTGGTCAGGAGCTAACAGAAGCAAACTAGATAGTTGTGAGCTGCTCGGTCTTGTGGGTGGTGGGAGCAGAATGGTAATGATGATAATATGTGGCTGAAATATTTTTAGAATTTTTTTAAAATGGGTAGAGTTAAGGATAAAATCTCGTAGGAAAAATATATGCAAGTATAAAGGTAAACAGTACTTCTGTTACTCTAAAGGGAAAGTAAAACTTACAGAGAAAATAGAAAAAAGATCTGAAAAAAAAAATTTCAAATATCTGGGACACTGATTTTATACCAATTTAGAGTAATAAATTTGCTTTTATTTTGATAAATGTGCCCCCTTATAAATACCATTGGCCAGCAAATGTTATTGGACAGTCCATGATGTGTTTATGTTATGTAGAAGTTAGTCGATTTTGTATCTCTCAAAGTTTTGGAATCCCTTGGACTCCCCCGAGGACCCCTGGTAGTGCAGTGGTTAAGCGCTCAGCTGCCAGCTGAAGAGTTGGTGTTTCAAACCCACCAGCCACGCCGTGGGAGAAGGTAGAGACAATCTGCTTCAGTGAAGATTACAGCCTTGGAAACCCTGTGGTACAGTTCTACTCTGTCCTATAGGGTCACTATGAGTTAAGAATCCACTCGACGGCAATGGGGTTGGTTTTTCATGGGGGGACTGCCCTGGTCAGATGAGAAAGAGAGACCAGGTTAAAAAGGAACAGGAGAGGCAGAGAATAGGGTAGGGTTATAGCCATTCTGATAATTTTCTCCAGTATCAAATGTTGGAAAACAGACATGAAGTAATATATTCCTTACTCCTCTTTCCTTCCTAACTTCACTCTTTGGGCATTCTACAAGAGTCCAGTGATATTCAGAAGAATTCCTTCCAGAAGATTTATTGACATGCAAAAATTAGTAGACTTGAGTTTCTGAAGGCTAGAGTTTAATTGCCAGCTTTGCCACTTACTGCCTATGAAATTTTGAAGTATTAATGGAACAGACCATAGGGTAGGGTGAGAATCAGAATGTTAGTTTAGATGTCCATTCATTGATTCTATGAAGTTGGCTGTAAAAGCAATATGTTTGATAAAGTATGTATAGATTCAAATTTAGATAATAGCCTGAGAGTACAATGAGAAACTACCCATAAGTTTCAGACTGGGTTTAAAAGCCACATAGCGAAAGAAAATTATTTTACAATTCTGCAAGAATTAGTTAGCTGATTAAAGTTGAAAGGGAGATATTATGGAGGATAGTTTATTCAAACAGAAATCTTTGTAAAACATAAATCTACTCATGTCACTCACTCTCCTGCTTAAAATCCTTGAACGACTCTCCAGGTATAAGGTCCCAACTTCTTAGCATCCTCAGTCCTATATGGTTTCTCATTCCTCCTCTAGGCTTCTCTTTCTCTAGCATGTATCTGCCACTTGGTATTCTTAAATTCCAGCCACAGAAGCTATTTGAAATTCCCCAAAGGTCCCATTTGCCTCTCATACTTTGCACAGAGTGAAAAGGGAGTGGGGAGTGGGGTGGGGAATGGAGGTGGAAAGGTAAACATGTTTATGTTAGAGTAAGAAAGTCTCAAATCAAACCCACTGCCTTCGAGTCAATTCCGACTTATAGTGACCCTGTAGGGTTTCCAAGGCTGTAAATCTTTACGGGACCAGACTGCCACATCTTTCTACCACCGAACGGCTGGAGGGTTCAAACTGCCAGCCTTTTTGGATTAGCAGCCGACTGCTTTAACCACTGTGCCACCAGCGCTCCTTAAGAAAGTCCCAGCAACTACTAGTTTATGTAATTTGAAAAATTTCATATCAATTAAGAATGAAGGTATTGTTCAAATTTAGGAACCATTGTAACAATGAAAGAGCCCATGCAACTTCAAATTGTAACAAGAAACTGATGAGTAATATGCATTACGTACATAGATGAAAACATTTTTCTTAACCTGTGTGCAATACTCAGTGGTGAAATGAGAAATGGATTTCTTCATAGCAATTTGATGCTTTCTCTATTGAAACATGTCCCCTGGAGGTTAAAACAACATTAATTTCATTATTGTTTCACATACTGATCATGGACATTATATATTCTACATATTCTAAACCAAAAGCAAACCCATGCCCTCGAGTCTATTCCAACTCATAGCAACCCTATAGTGTCTACATATTCTAAGAGATTCCAGACAACACATTGTTATGGATAAAACCTTACAAGCTTTGATCAAAGCTACACAAATAGCATTTGAAAGAAAATAAAAAAATTCCATCACTTCTTTGTGCTAACTTTGAGTAGACGCTCACAGCAAGAAAAAAAAAATTTAATTTCTTACAAAAGAAAATGACAATAGCCGCAAAAAGGTCCGTGGAGCAGTGTACAAAGTTAAAAGCTGTTGCTTACATTGCTGTAGGTCCAGTAGGAACTCTGACATCTGTTTGAAACTCCTGAACAGAAACACTCATCACAACCTTTACGGTTATCCTCTTGCAAGTTGAAGAAGCCAGATTTGCAACGACTGCAGTCTCCTCCTTCAACATTCTCCTGCAAATACAGAGGTACGTTAGAAACAAACAGTGGTACCCTTCAAAATTAAGAGTTTCTCACATCGATTTCTGTTTAAATCTTTTGTGACCCAATTATTTTTTCCTTTTCATTTTTGCGATACTACTTGTTTTCAATAATGGAGGGCGTGTTGAATCATTGAGTGTATCTGAATTTTTGGTAGGTAACATGATTTTTGTTTTATGCCTCTTTCCACAAATTGTACCCTTGGAGTCCAGAGGTCCATATGTGTACCCCTTGTGAACACAAATTCTACCCCCAGAGTCCAGTACCAATAAAAATTTCCAAAATTCATGTTTTTCCTACCAAAAATTAAGTGATTCGGCACCTCCTCATACAATACCCTGTAAAAACAGTAATCTGCAGCACACCCGTTTTTTCCATTTCAAACTGTAATATAGGGCTCTGCCTGCCAGCAGCACATACTGTCAGTGGGACAGGAACTTCCCAATGAACCTCAGAGGTACTAAAATAAGTGGTAGCTACATATACCGCCAGTCCTGAAAGGGATAAGGAAAATATTCACTGTACAGTCTTCCTTTTACCTTCTCAACAACCATATTTAAAGTATAATGACAGCTCAAAAACTCCTTATTAAGCTACCTTCTTCCTAACGAGACTAGTGGGAAAGAATTTTGGATGGTAGTCTGTTGTGTTGAAAGTTACAATTTTGATGATCTTCATCTATGTTACAAGTACAGAGTAAATGTCATAATAAAGCTAAAAAATTTGACTGACTAAAATATGGTCAATTTGGTTCACTATTGATTAACAAAGAGTCTTCATTAAATCTTTGTTGTTAAGTATCTAATCTTAGACCACATATATATGATAAAATTTAAAACATTAAACTAATACATGAATGTGTAATAGAATATTGATATTGCACAGATTGTAAAATTCTTTTCACATTAATATTTAAAATACATACCTATGAGGTAAGCCTAAGAACCTGACAAGCAGAGAAATTGGGGCAAACAGTCATAGCATCTCCCTGCTCAGGCTAAGTAGCAAAGGATAAATGTTTTCCCTGGTTAATTTTTACAGTGTTTCCTTTAACACAGTGGTATAGCCAGTTAATCATATAGTAATATCATGGGAAAAAATAATTCTCATTTGGTAACTGCTCCTTAGATTGGCTTCATTAATTCTAGTCCCAGTATACAGAAAAATTGTTATGGGTGGGCCTATAATGTGAACTCAGGACACCGAAAGCTGACTCTATAATGAAAAACTAAAAAGGCTGTAATCTCTCAATTTAGACAATGGCTAACCTTATGTAATTTCAGCTGATGACTCCCTGCTTTCCACGAAACTAATTCTCAATATTCCCTTAACGTGCGTTTGCTCCACATTTTCCCTCTTCCTTTGAATTCCCTTATTTCTTCGATTTTGAAGCTTTCCTTTTCCTTAGAGAACTAACTAAGGTCTCAATTGTGTTCCCAAAACCTTTTATACATTGCTCTATTATAACCAACACACACACATAAAAAAAAAAAAAAACCAAATAGCTATTTTTTCTAAGAATGGTCTCTTCAACTATACCACAATCTATTCTAAGGTAGAAACCTTGTCTTACTTATCTTTATAGTCCCAGAAACTAGCAAGGTTCCGGGTACAACATTGAGCACTAGCTTCATAAAATTTTGATAAAATTAAATGTTTCTCCTGATGATTGTGTTTTTCATGTATAGTCAAGTGCTATGCACATAAACCCATTGCTGTCCAGTCAATTCCGACTCATAATGAACCTATAGACAGAGTAGAACTGCCCCATAGAGTTTCCAAGGAGTTGCTGTTGGATTCCAACTGCCGACCTTTTGGTAGCAGTGGAATGCTTAAGCACTGTGCCACCAGGGCTGTGCTATGCACACATTGTTGTTGTTAGGTGACATCCAGTCGGTTCCAACCCCTAGAGACCCTATGTACAACAGAATGAAACACTGCCTGGTCTTGCGATATCCTCATGATCTTTTTTATGCTTTAGCCCATTGTTTCAGCCACTGTGTCAATTCATATAGTTGAGGGTTTTCCTCTATTCCCCTGAACCTCTACTTTGCCAGGCATTATGTCTTTCTCCACGGACAGTGCCCTTCTGATAACAGGTCCAAAGCATGTGAGATGAAGTCTTACCATTCTTGCTTCTAAAGAGCATTCTGTCTGTACTTCTTCTGAGACAAATCTGTTATTTCTTCTGGCAGTTCATGATATATTCAATATTCTTCACCAACACCTAATTCAAAGGCATCGATTCTTCTTCTGTCTTCCTTATTCATTGTCCAGCTTTCATGTGCTTATGAGGCAATTGAAAACACCATGGCTTGAGTCAGGTGCACACTAGTCTTCGAGGTGACATCTTTGTTTTTTTTTTTTTGTTTGTTTGTTTTTAACACTTTAGAGAGATCTTTTGCAGCAGATTTGCCCAATGTAATGTGTCCTTTGATTTCTTGACTGCTGTTTCCATGGGTGTTAATTGTGGATCCAAGTAAAATGCAATCCTTGACAACTTCACTCTTTTCTCTGTTTATCATGATGTTGCTTATCGGTCTAGTTGTGGGGATTTTTGTTTCTTTTATGTTGAGGTGTAATTCATACTGAAGGCTGTAGTCTTTGATTTTCATCACTAAGTGCTTAAAGTTCTCTTCACTTTTAGCAAGCACGGTTGTGTCATCTGCATATTGCAGGATGTTAATGGGTCTTCCTCCAAACATGATGCCCCATTCTTCTTTATATAATTCAGCTTCTCGGATTATTTGCTCAGGATACAGACTGAGTAAGTATGGTGAAAGGATACATCCCTGACACACACCTTTTCTGGTTTTCTGTTCAAACAACTGCCTCTTGATCTATGTACAAGTTCCTCATGAGCACAATTAAGTTTTCTGGAATTCCCATTGTTTACACTGTTATCCACAATTTGTTATGATTCACACAGTCAAATGCCTTTGCATAGTCGATCAAACACAGGTAAATATCTTTCTGGTATTCTCTGCTTTCAGACAGGATCCATCTGACATCATCAGTGATATCCCTGGTTTCACATCCTCTTCTGAATCTGGCTTGAATTTCTGGCAGTTCCATGTTGATGTACTGCTGCAAGCTTTTGAATGCTCTTCAGCAAAATTTTACCAGTGTGTGATATTAATGATACTGTTGGATAATTTCTGCATTAGGTTGGATCACCTTTGTTTGGAATGGGCACAAATATGGATCTCTTCCAGTCAGTTGCCCAGGTAGCCATCTTCCAAATTTCTTGGCATAGACAAGTGAGCACCTCCAAGACTGCATCCTTTTGTTGAAACATCTCAATCAATATTCCCTCAATTCCTGGAGCCTTTTTTTTACCAATGCCTTCAGTGCAGGCTGGATATCTTCCTTCAGTACCATCAGTTCCTGATCATATGCTACCTCTTGAAATGGTTGAATATCGACCAATTCTTTTTGGTATAATGACTCTGTGTATTCCTTCCATCTGCTTTTGATGCTTCCTGCATTATTTAATATTTTCCTCATAAAATCCTTCACTATTGCAACTCGAGGCTCGAATTTTTTCTTCAGTTCTTTCAGCTTGAGAAATGTCAAGCATGTTCTTCCCTTCTGGGTTTCTATCTCTAGGTCTTTGCACATGTCATTAGAATACTTTGTCTTCTCGAGCTGCCTTTTGAACCTTCTGTTCAGCTCTCTTCATCATTTCTTCCTTTCGATTTTGCTATTCTACGTTCAAGAGCAAGCCTCAGAGTCTCTTCTGATATCCATTTTGGTCTTTTCTTTCTTTTCAATGATGTCTTGCTTTCTTCATATATGATGTCCTTGATATCATTCCATAACTCGTCTGGTCTTCAGTCATTGGTGTTCAATGTGTCAAATCTATTCTTGACATGGTCTCTAAATTCAGGTGGGATATACTCAAGGTCATACTTTTGCTTTCATGGACTTGTAATTTTCTTCAACTTCAACTTGAACTTGCATAGGAGCAATTGATGGTCTGTTCCACAGTCGGCCCGTAGCCTTGTTCTGACTGATGATATTGAGCTTCTCCATTGTCTCTTCCCGCAGTTGCAGTTGATTTGATTCCTGTGTGTTCCATCTAGGAGGTCCATGTGTACGGTCATTGTTTATGTTGTTGAAAAAAATTATTTGCAATGAAAAAGTCGTTGGTCTTGCAATCATGTGATCGCTGGCATCCTTTCTATCACCAAGGCCATATTTTCCAACTACTGATCCTTCTTCTTTGTTTACAACTTCTGCATTCCAATCACCAGTAATTATCAATGTATCTTGATTGTATGTTTGATCAATTTCAGACTGCAGAATCTGGTAAAAGTCTTCAATTTCCTCATCTTTGGCATTAGAGGTTTGTGCATCAATTTGAATAATAGTCCTATTAAATCGTCTTCCTTGCAGGCATATGGATATTATCCTATCACTGACAGCATTGTACTTCAGGATAGGGCTTGAAATGTTCTTTTTGACAATGAATGTGACATGATTCCTCTTCAAATTTGTCATTCCTGGCATAATATATCATATGATTGTCTACTTCAAAATGGCCAATACCAGTCCATTTCAGCTCACTAATGCCTAGGGTATTGATGTTTATGCATTCCATTTCATTTTTGACAATTTCCAATTTTCCTGGATTTATACTTTGTAAATTCCATGTTCCGATTATTAATGGATATTTGCAGCTGTGTCTTCTCATTTTGAGTCATGATACATCAGCTCCCAAAAGCTTGACTACATCCACATCATTAAGGCCAACTCTACTTTGAGGAAGCAGCTCTTTCTCAGTTGTATTTTGATGCCTTCCAACCTGAGGTGCTCATCTTCTGGCACTATATCAGACAATGTTCTGATGTTATTCATAAGGTTTTCACTAGCTAATTTTTTTCAGAAGTAGACCACCAGGTCCTTCTTCCTAATCCAACTTATTCTGGAAGCTCAGCTGAAACCTGTCTACCATGGGTCATTATGATGGT